TGACAGGTCCTGGTCTTCTGGTCTGCGTAGTATCCATGTCCACAGTCAGGAGTGCAGTATCCTTCCATGAGGTAGGTCTGATTACGACAAGCTCTGCAGAGTCCGATCCCGTCGCAGAGCACGCAGTCGGACGAGCAAGCTGAAGGAAAAGATCCAAATTATTTTTTGTTTTTACACAAGTCTTCAACTTTTACTTACTCGGATGTTTTAAATGTCTATTATAAATTTATTTTCAAACTAAATTAATACTCTGATCTTCATAGAAACAGTCTTTAAAAGTCTATCACTACATATAGAAACAGAATAAAAAGAAGATATATTCTTACATTTGCAAGCTTTGGAAGATGCATCCAGGAAGTAGTTTCTGCCACATTCGAGCACACACTGGCCGTGCAGCGTGGCGTAGGGAGGCTGGCATTCCTGGCACTGTCCAGGACCTCGACAGTCCAAACAGTGATCGTCACAGCCTGCCGCAGAGAGCAAAACATTTGAAAAAAAAAGTGATATAGTAACGGAGTTAAAGACATTATTTATTTTATCACCAGATATTTTCTTAATGTGTTTTTTTGGCTACTAGCACCGGTGAAAACAGTAACATGGAGTCACACAGAAGCTGTATTACAAACTGCTAATGCACACATGCATTAATCAGTTTGCTTAGGCTTGTATGAATGTGTGTGACTGAGTGAATGAGGCTTGCTGAGAGTAGAAAAGTGCTATACACCAGTCCGTGCAGTTGATTTGGCCAGTTCATACAACTTCTACATATAAAAGCTCTTTTAAGGAACCTTTTAGTTCAGCTGCTGCTGATTATCTGCTTTATTAAGATTGGCTGCGTTAGCAATCGATTAGGAAAAACAACTTCAAATGGACACAAATGTACAAACAACAGTGTAAAAGCCCAGAGGAAGCTCTTTGTGCAGCTACAATAGCACCGACTGCATGTGAAGTGGGTCAATTTATCTGCTTTTCGTTGGACTGACCGAGGCATCTGTCTCCGTCCTGATAGGCGCCAAAGGAGCACCCCTGCGTGCACACTCCCTCCTGCAACACGTAGCCCTCCATGCACTGCAGGCAGTCAGTTCTCAGGGGGCCTTTACAGGCGTTGCAGCTCCAGTCACACTCTGCAAACAGGATGGACGGTAGCAGAAAAGAAGTGAGAGGAGGAGGCGTACGTGTGTGTGTGTGTGTGTTGGGACATTGGGATTAGAAGTGAGGGGATTTTAGAGGTGAGAGCAAATAGTGAGAACAGAACAGAAGAGAGGGAGGGAGGGCGAGAGACCAAAAGAGATTAATCAACTTTTTTTTCTCTATGGGACTGATTTTAAAACCATTTGTGCTTCTTTCTCTCTCATCACCTGCACATCTGTTGTTTGTCCTGCGCACAATTAATACAGGCATGAAAATGAAGCACAGTTGGGACTCTTCATGCTTGTATGACCTTCTACATTTGCATTAAACCTGAAGATGAAACTAAGCAGGATACACAGTTTGTAGAGCAGCTACACATACAGTGAAACACCGTTTGTCAAAACAAACAAAAGAAAAATGGATCAAAATGCTACATTTTCTTAAAACGTATCAAATATACAAATTAGCCATAACTGTAGCCCAGAAAACTTCTGAACACATCAAGCTGAACTCTAAAAAAAGGGACACATGTCAGCGAGGCGACTGGTGTCTTAGCATTAGTGCCGTTCATGTGAATCAGTGAAGTGGACCGGGCTCCATCTTTGTGGTGTTGGTGCCTTTCAGATCACTTTAAACGAAACGATCTGAGTAATAACACGGCTTTGTGCTTGGTCCAAGATGTTTTTCTTCCGTTTTGCTTCTAGTAATTGATAGTCTGCTGATAACTCCAGCCTTTCATCCACAAATCACCTCAGTCTTCAATAAAACAACACAGTGATCCAGTATGCTTTACAAACCTATGGCTAATAACATGGTGGCAGCGTCCTTCCTTAAATATACAGCATGCAGCTGAGATGGATGTTTGGACCTCCTGCTGTGATGCTAAGTTAATTAATATTCTAATTTCCTCATGCAAGTTTTCCTTGGGGTCAATCTTTGATTTTTTTGTTTATATCATGGCAAAATATATATAATATATATAATTTCGTCATTTTGTTTAACAGCCACCATGAAAACTAGTTCATCTCTTAGTCTGTCTTCAGCATCTACATTTGTTTTTAGGTGAAAGTGGGAGAGTGGGAGGCAAACGGTGGGATCTGAGATGTAAATGAGGGATTTCTCAGTGGACAAAGATCACTGATAAAGCCAAACAAATGTAGGTTTTGGTAGTGCTTAAGGGTTTGTAAGAGACTCTCTCTGAGAACTTTCAAAGCTCCCCCGAGGCTGTGAAATGAAAGCTCCCAAAGGTTTCTCGAAGCTGTTTTGGTTTTTCAGAGAGCTGTTAGCCGTGGTGCTTTTAACACTCTGGGTGCATCTAAGGTTCAGTGGATTAACCAGGGGGATAAACACCATCATGAGCTGGATGGCTAAAAACCACCTGTCTAAGTGGGAGGCGCTGCTCGCTGGCTCAGAGGGAATCAAAATATTTATTTAGCCCGGAGCAGCTAGCTTAGCTTCTAATCCCATAACAGACATGTGCAGTGTTGGTTCCTTTGGGCCCCCGATACCTGGAAAAACCTTACTGCACTGGACTGAATCAGTGATAAAGGGAAGTCTACTTGGTGATTTCCACTTTATGTGAAATAACTTACTGTGAATTAAACTATATGGTACATCAGCGTAACAACAGTCATGGCTGAAATTAAATCTTATGCAGTCATTATTCTTTGATCCAGAAAAAGGAAAATGTTATTGAGTTCCAGCCTGAAAAAATGCAAGCAAGCCTGATTAGCGGGTATTTAAATATATAAACAGTGGTGAAAAAAGGGATAGCTATTCACTCAGGCCCGGGATCCCCTGAGGCTCATGCATCAATGTCTCTGTGCACAGGAAGATGTAATCCTGAGTTAAAATGCACACACAATGTGTAGCATTTGCATACCTGGTTCTACAGTTTATTACTTGATTGATGGAGCCTATAAACTCAATGTAGCACAGTACACTACATGCAATATGGATGAAGAAATTTATGAATATCATAAAGGGTGCACTGCATATCCTCATTATTAAGCCCCCTTGCCTCACTGCACCGGTGCATTTTGTGTGAGGTTGTCAGGCGACTTGGCAGCGTACCTCTGCAGGTGCGGCTCGTGGTGTTGAGGTAGTACTGATGGGCGCAGCTGTCGTACTGGCATTCTCCGAACAGCAGCACCTTGGCCGGGTCACGGCAGGACGTACAAACCCCAGGCGTCTCGCACGTCAGGCACTGGCTGTCGCATGCTGCAGAGAACAGAAAAGGTTGACGGACTAGTGAGTAAAATATGAAACGCCAGCCAACACCATAAACTGCCTGAATGCGGCTGTGTCGGATGCATCGATTGCCAAAATTCCTCCTAAACACATGCATGTGAGGTTAATAAGTGATTCTAAATTGACCTTGTGTGTTAGCACTGTAATAAGGAGGCAGTCTGACCACCTCTCGCAGCTTAAAGAGGCCCTCACAACACAAACAGAAAACTGAAGGAGTACTGAGTAATTAAAACACCAACTAACTACACTCGCTCGCTCGTTCATTGAGTCTGGGATCTCTCTGTATTGTAAAAATATCGTCTTAGCATTCTTGAGGTGTTGATGGCCTGTTTTCATGACTACCTGCATCACTTTCCCACTGTTTTCTCGGCTTCACTCATTACTTTCAGCGTATATTCCACTGACTCACCATTCGTTTTCTGACAAACCGTCTTTGTGAACTTTCACTAAACTTTTGTGCCATGAATGGTCCTTTTTGTTTGTGCCTGTTTTCGCCCTCTGCCCACTCTGTCTGGAATTCAATTCAGGCAATTCGTTCAATTTTATCTGGCTGACTCGTAGGTGAACTCGTTTCACACAAACAACAAGTTGGCTTTTTGGTTTTCTGTGCGTGAGTGCTGCATTTAGTTCTGTTTTCTGAGTTGTGACAAGCTAAAAAGTAGCAGTAAGCTAATACCCATCAACTTCCACGTTAAAATGTCCAAGTTTACAGCAGAAACACATTTTTACGGGTCTCTGTGGATAGTATCCTTCTTTATAACAACCGTACCAGGATTATTCTTTTTAATAACTCATCCAACATTGTTGCTTGTGTTGGAGCTGAAAATCAGTGTGTGGCCCTTGTCTGTAGCCTGTAGGTGTCTGCTAAGCTTCACCTTCACTAACCGGAGTCTCTGAACTAGACTTGTTTGGCTGTGTTTGTGGTTTTGGTGTTTTTGGAGCATTTTAATTAAATAATCTCACCATTAATATTGCCTGATGTGTCCAAGAAGTTTGTAAATTTGTAATGGTAAGTAAGTCTATGATTTAATTAGACACTCATTAGCGGTTATTTATGCAGACAGTCTTCTCAGTGCAAACATAGAGTGCAGCTAACAGGAAACAAACCAAAATAGTAACATGGCAAAGGCATCTTTTTAACATTCACAGTATGCTTGTTTGCGTGTGTGTGTGTGTGTGTGTGTGTGTGTGTTTTCACTAACCCTGGCAGATCCTTTGCCCATTGTTATAGTATCCAAGGGGACATTTGGGGGCACAGAGTCCAGATGGCAAGAGAACGCTGTTGGCAGGGCAGGAAGTACAAGAGAGCGGCCCAGCCCCACTGCAGGCCTCGCATGATGGATGGCATTCTGGGGGAAAAAACGTAACACCTTTTATGGACACAATATATCCTAATATAACCTAAGTTGCCAAAAAGCTGGCAGACCGTGTTAAATGTAAATAAGAACAGAATACAATGATTTGAGATTTTACTCGTGGTTTAACATTGAAAACATATCAAATATTTAAAATGAGCCATTTTATTACTTTGTGAAAAATACTGGCTAACTTAGATTTTGATGGCAGGAACATGTTGGGATGCGGGCAACAAAAGGCTGTAAACAGCTCTAAAAACAGGAAGTCGACGTGCAGTTTATGTTTGTTTGTGTCTATCCCAGCATCACCTTGACATCCTTGATGTTTGTCGATTGTTTCGTTCCAATTTCTATGGAATTTCTATGCTGCTAATTAAACCCTCCAAAGGTTTTAATCCAGCGTGCCTTTATGATTTCTAAACTCCATCTTTGCCTCCATCTGCCACGCGCCCTCCATACCGGCCAACTGCCAGCTCGACAGTCTTTGCTTCTCTGTTCATTCAGCTTCAACCCTTTATGTTCCAGTCCAACTATCCCCAGACTCTCCATTCACTGTAAAACCCGGCTTAATCAGCCTTCAAATTCCTCTATTTCTACTGAAAAAATAAAATCATTTTTAATAAAATAGAAACTTTTGGCTTTCTATTTAGACTTTCTCAAACCTGTAAACTTGTAAGAACTTTCAAAAAAGATAATCTGATATGTTGGAGAAGATATCAGAAAGACACTGATCCAAAAGGATGGATTGTGACAATAAACAGTCCTTTGTTGTTCTGTGTTTACTTCCTTAAACTACGGCAGTTAGTTTTATTCTGTAGTGAGAAAAAAGTCATTTTAGTAGTTTTGACTGTTAAAGAATTGCAATACAAGAAAAACTCAGATGGAAAAGGTTTTCTAAGCTATAAACCCTCTTTGAAGTTCTCAAAAACAGATGGACACAACACTGAATCATCGGTTTCTTGACGACAAAAGGCGGCACAGTGGTTCAGCTGTTAGCTGTTGCCTTGCAGCAAGAAGGCCCAGAGTTCAAATCTGAGGACGGCCCGCTGCGGTGTTTTGTTTTGAAGTGTGCATGTTCTCTCCAGGTGCTCCCTCAGTCCAACAACATCAGTGTGAATCCTTATCTGTCTCTATGTGTTAGCCCAGCTCCCCCAGTAACTCTGAACTGAGTAAGCGGCTGAGAGAATGGAAGGATGGAAAAAGTCTTTTCAAACCCAAACTGTTGAGTTTAAAAATATTTACTTATCTAATAAGTGTATCGCGTTATTATCAAGGACACAGTCACTCAGAGTCATCTGCTCCTCATCCTTAGACACTGCACAGCCCAGCACCACACACTGCTCATCTAAGCACACTAACCACGGCAGAAAAATATGAATCTGATGTAAAAATTCATCATCTGGCCTGAATCAGCACCAGGAAAGAGGCAGACGTGCAAACATGTAGCTAATAAAATGTACCCATCCACCCACCTACCTGTTGTGTAGCACATGTTTGACCTGAGAGGTTTGATCTGTGTCCACGGGAGCTATTTTCCTCTACCTTGTGCTTTCTTCACATAGCTGTTGTAGTCACTGTGTGTGCATGAATGTGTTTGTATGCTATTGGCTGCAGCTGAGCTAAATGAGACTCCTGAGGTTTTACTCTTAAAGCCAGAGGCTTCCTGTTCACGCTCTGCATTTAAACCTGTGCGCAGATTCGCAGCAGATCAGCGTGGAGGCTGTTACAGCTGCTCAACGGCTGAACCACAGGATGAGGAGGAGGAGGAGGAGGAGGAGCAGGAGGACGATAATAATAATGAGCAGGTATGATGAGGATAAGGATAATGGAGACAATGCGGATGATGGCTTTGAAGAGGATGAGGGGATAATTAGAAATTCTTTTCTAGAGCAACTGTTTGTTTAAACATTTGATTTAAGTGTTTCTCCTGCTTGTTTTCAGGTCAGCAGAGGGTGGAGAAACAAGCCCTCCCAGGTCAAGGAGTTAGGTTTGATTGATGAATAAAACATAAAAGCTTCGATTAGATTTCCCTACATTAAAGAAAGCTACTGCTTGACCTCTGACCTTCTTGTACAAAGGCAGAGAAGTAAAAAGTCCTTACCGATGCAGGCTCCATGCCAGCCATAATGACCCAGAGGACAGCGAGAGACACAGTGATCGCCCAGCAGCCACATTCTTGGCACTTTGCACCACAGACAGATGCTGCCGACGCCCGTCTGGAGGTCTGCTGTGCAACGCTGGCAGTCCGAGCTGCACTCTGTGGAGATAACAGAGAGAATGATTTGTATTTTTTCATCTTCACAATGTAAACAGAAATGTAAGCCATTATCAGTCACTCGTCAACGCCATGCTAAAACGTCTTTTCTTAAATCAAACGAGCTGATGCGCATCTGAAGCAAAACAGGCGCCTCGCTGGTTTTTGTTTAAACGAAAAGCAAAAATAATCCAATCAGTTACAACTCGCTATTTCTGACTACGAACGGCTCACGAGCTCCAGTTTCTCTCCTCTGTTCCCTTTGTCCCCTGTTTTTTTCATTTCTCTAGTTTGTTGAGTTGATTAATTTATATCCATGTTTAAAAGTAGTAAAATTCCTGCATGGCTAAAACAATAAAATCGCAATTAAAACATAAAAAACAAGGAAAATGTAAACAAATGATTTTTTTTTTTATCCAAAGAATAAAAATTGGTTTTCAAACAGGATTTTAAAATGTCTGTTGTTAGGCAGAAGTCCGCTCCACTTACTATCAGTGGTTACTTAAAAAATCAGATCTTTCTTTTGATGAAAACTTCAGTGGCATCTCCACAGTGATGACCTCAGTGATGTAGTTAAGTATATGTTAAATTATGAGAGAAACAGGAAAACGCCAACCCACTTTGCTTCCTCCTTCCTGTGACCTGATAATCAATGTCAGTGTGCTTTTTGTCTCAAATCTTAAAACACTTCTGGACAGAGGAGGAGAATTACTGACAGAATATAGAAAGAGATCAGATTTCTCTGATATTCCCTTTATTGTATCCCTGTTAAATACAGAATTGAATGCATACTCCTTTTCCTCACAGACAAGGCCTTGAATAACGACCTTATCTTAAAGACCACATAGGACTGTATCACCCCAATAGAGCACTTCACTGTCAGACTGCAGGTTCATTTGTGGTTTCCAAACGTAGAATGGGAGGTGGACACTTCAGCTCCCAGCTCGGGCTCAAGAGACAGACACTCTCTCTACTTCTACAACTAAGCCTCAAACTTTCCTTAGTTATTCCGCTTCAGACTGAGGCTGTTGGGGGACTTCCCATAATGCACTGCTTGTGTCGTCAACGTTTATCCTCTCGCTCCTGTAGCTTTTGTTTTGCCCTGTCCGACATGGTTTTTATCTGACAGAACAAAGTTTGCTGAAGCGCCTGATTAACTGAGGATCTGCAGAAATGTTTCTACTCTGGCTTTTCAAGCTGTAGGAGGACTTTTCACATAGATGTTCTATGCCACTGCATGTATATGTTCTTTTCCATGAGCAGTTATCTTTGTCTGACATATTTGATCATAAAACACAAAAATAGGCTGTAACAAAGCAACGGACGGACGATACAGCTGCATCTCGATGTCTCTCCTCGCCTCTCCCTCTCACACATCTTATGGAATAAACTAAGACAAATAGAAAAAGGAAAAGTAAGCAGGACAAGTCTGTACGATTAGACGTGGCATCTACCCCAGTGTTTCATCCAGACCTTGATGATCTTCAGCTGCTTTATTCCAATTTCTATGTAGCTCCCATCTCTACTGCTGCTAATTAAGCTCCCCGTGTCCAAAGTTTTAATCCAGCGTGCTTTTATGATTTCTAAACTTCATCTTTTCCGCTGTCTGTCTGCCCGATCTCCGTCTGCCATGCACCGTCCAAACCTCCAACTGCCAGCTCGACAGTCTTTGCTTTTCGGTTCATTCAAAATCAACCCTTTATGTTCCAGTCCAGCTATCCCCACACTCCCCATTCACTGCAAAACTCTGTTTAATCAGCCTTCAGTTCCTCTATTTCTCCTGAAAAAATAAAATCATTTTAATAGAATAAGATGTGATAAGCTGGGTAAAGGGAGAAAGAGCCAGGGAGCTTATAAGTTCTCCATTTACTTTGAAAACTTTTGGCTTTCTTTTTAGACTTTCTCAAACCTGCAAACTTTTAAGGGCTTTTAAATCCGTTTAAAAGAAAATCTGATATAATGGAGATTCAAAAGGATGGATTATGACAATGGCCCCATCCACTGTCCCCTGTTATTCTGCGTTTACTTCCTCACACGATGGCAGCAGGTAGCGGCAAAGGAGGAAATTAACAGCAGAGGTATTTATTGCTGCTTCACCAACAGCTTGATTTGTATATTTAGTTTCTGACTTAACCACAAACTGTGGTCAAGGTGAGTTGACTGAAAAGAGTTCCTCTCAACTTGTTTACGTCCTTTCTTGCAGTAAGCGCTCAGAGACATTACCCAAGAAGCTGGAAAGACCTTCACTTAGTATAATAAAAGCTTACTCGTGGTAAGATGTATATTAAGATGAGGAAAAAGGAGAAACTACTGTTTGCAGCCTAATGACTCCCACTTTAATCCAAAATAAGACAGATGGTAACTCAGATGCTTCTTGCTTCAGAGCAACAGTAATCGATGCAGCATTACGGTGCCCGAGCATGTGGCAACAATAAGTGTTGATAGCTCGAGCGCTTGTAAAACCACACAGTTTGTATTTTTTTAGACAACTGCTGGTGTTTGGTGGAGAACACTTACTAAATATCAGCTCATTGCAAACAAAAGTACAACAGAGTTTGTTGCTAACATGCAAAAATTAAGCAGAAATAAGTAGGAAGGATTTTAAAAGCAAAGCATTTCTGACTAAAGATATAAAAGGAGAGTAAATATGATTCCTTTATTGTTTTCCACACCTTTAAACTCCAAAATTGTGATCTCATAAGATAAATGCCAGTGATAGGTAAAAAAGAAGCTGCCCCCATCCACACCCCCACCCACAGACCCATATATACCCTCAGAACTAAGTGCAGCAAGGTCTCCCAAAAGGCACCAAGATTAACAGAACAATGAGCATCTGGTGGTGTTTTATCTGATGGTATCTGAGTTGTGTCTGGCTGACACAGCAGTGGGTACCTTATTTTGTCTGTGATGAGATAACGATGTATAGTGGAAACAATGAGGCAGAGTGGGGAGTTATGTGATGGTGAGGACAGCAGTAAAAGAGGTGGACAAAGAAGTATCACTAACAATTTATCATTTTAATTCTGTTTGCAGATATTACAAGTTGATGCGCCATAAAAAAAACATTAGGTGATCTTTAGTATTTGCACGACTAAGTGCTACTATATTAAAGAAATGAACTTCTGCAAACCCAATTCCAGAAAAGTCAGGATGCCACATAAAATGTATCAAAACAGAAGGATTGCAAATCTCATAAAGCCACATTATATTAACAGTAAAATCTCAGATACATCTCAAAGAAGTTGGGATGGGCAAAACAAGTCAATGGAAAAGGAAGCAGCGCTATAAAATAACAGCTGGAGGAACATTTTGCTTCCAATAAAAGCATCTTAGAGAGACTGAATTTCACCAATCTGCAAAACAACGTGTCTACAAATTGTGGAACAATTTCAGAGTAATGTAAAAATTCAAAAACATTGACTATCTCATCATCTGCAGTACATGATGTGATCGAAAGATTCAGAGTATCTGGAAAAATCTCCGTGTGGAAGGGACATGGATGACCATGATCTTTGGCATTGTGTTAAAAAACAGGCGTGTTTCTGTCACGCCATCAGTGTAAACACAGTTCACTGTGCCATTCACGCATGCAGTTTAAAGCTCTATTGTGCGAAAGAGAAGCTACGTGTGAACATGATCCAGAAACACTGATGTCTTCTGTGGGCCAAAGCTCAGTTAAAATGGCCAGAAACTCCAAATCTGACCTCATGTCCTCTGAACTAAAGAGAGGGACCATCCAACTTGTTATCAGCACTCACTTTGTAAGCCTGCATCTCTGATGTTATGGGGGTGTATTAGCAGCACGCATATCTGGAGTGAATGGTGTATAAAGGTTTTAGAACATCATATATACTAGGGCTGCCACAAACGATTATTTTGATAGTCGACTAGTCACCGATTATTTTTGCGATTAGTCGACTAATCAGATCATCATCCATTGGAC